AAATTACTATTCATTTGGACAATTGGTTCTGCTAACATTCAGTCTAAAGTTGCCATCTTTTAACTTAAATCCATTACTCCATGGAAGGTCATCATGGATCAAATGTTTCCAGAGAGACCTTGGTGGTTTGCAGCATATTTTATAGTTAAACATTATAAATCCATCACTACCTTTTGATTGAGATAGACCTGTTACAATTATTCACAAGTTGTCTCCTAGCTGGGTGAACTTCAAAGTTTAATATTTGTGGTTGCAGTTGAAAATAATTCTGGAAATTGCTCTTGGTCAGCAGATAAGCAGCAAAACTGTTAATTGGGACAGACGAATAAAGGCATAATATTTTCTTACCTCTAGAGGCCACCAGGAATCATTCTAGCTACTGATTTGCAATCTTTAAAACCATCATTGTCTTGGCACTGGGATATTTTATTTTATTATTTTTCTTGCCTTTATTATTTTTACAAATAACTCAAGGCAGCAAACAAATCCATCACATCTTCCTCCCCTTATTTTTCCCACAACAACCCTATGAGGTGGGTTGGACTGAGAGAGAGTCACCCAGCTGGCTAAGGCAGGACTATTCCTGCTTTCTAGTTTAGTCCTTTAGCCAGGAGACCAAACTGGCTCTCAATATTTGGTTGAATATCCCCTGTCACATTAGAGAAAGAGATACTTTTATTTTCACTTTAAAGCACAACACAAAATCAAAATAAAATTAATAGAAAGCATAAATGACTATGAGGATATCCATGAATCCTTCAATTATGTCCATGTGATACTATCAATCTGTAAACAGTACAGTACTGTCCATATATTGTTTTATTGATGGTTTTTTAAGGACATTAAAGTCTGTTTCATTTTCCCTTATTTGATAACGAATTCAGGTTGTACTAATTTATTTTACACCCCACTCTTACCAGATCAGAGTTTAATTCTTTGGACCTTGCCAAGTTACTTTATCCTGCTAATAAAATTAGATAAGAGGTAATTGTTCCTCTGGCTTCATAATTATAGGAATCGTAGATCTAAGACTTTCTTCTCTACTTATGTGTCTTAGGTCTAACCACTAGATTATAGCCAGAAGTATAGATTTAATGAGAATTACAGAGCTATAATATTAATACTAATAACAATGATTATTTTAGTCCTAAGAGTTATCGTTTTAGTGGAAGTAAATATCAGGTCTTGTTTTATCTCACTGAACTTTTATTCAAGCCCAGTGTTCCTGATGTTGGCTGTTTTATTCTAATCAAATTGTTGGGTTGATTGTGTAATATTATGCTGGTCAATAAAGATGTTGATTTGATTTGAATATGGTGATGATAATAATGAAATCAATAATGAAATCAATCAATCAACGTTTCTAAAATCGTAACTCTAAAATTCACATAACTAATTCAAATCAGTCCTATAAAAATCTGCTACTTCCTTGTATATACAAAACAAAATTTTGCAACTAAAATTGTAACATAAGAATCTTTTACTGAATATAATAATATTGCCTGAGTGGTCTAGAAAAAAAAATTAAGAAAGGCTACCTTGACCTTATTCAATAATTGGAATAAATCCCACACTTTCTCGCATAGAACAACCTATTTGCCCTCAGGAAATGCCCTGGAAAAGCATTAAAGTGAGCTCTAAGAACAGCCAATCAATCCATGGATAAATAAATGAATTCAAGCAAACTGCTAGAAAGCATTTACAGGATTTTGTGAAATATTTCCTATGGTAGGAAATTTATTTACCCAGACAGAAAAATCATAATGAAACTTCTTTTCTGAATGCCTTTAATGAAAGTCATGAGCTAAAAACTGTAGAGTCTTTTTCTTGTGCAATGCTTTTCAAACATTTTGATCTCAGGACCCTGTTATATTATTACAAGAGCTTTGGTTTATGTGGGCCATAGCTATCAATATTTATTAGAAATTAAAACTGAGAAATTTTAAGATATTTTACTCCATGGAGCCCCAAAAATATCCTGGAGACTACCAGGGGTTCCCAGGCTACATTTTTGAGAACTGCTATTCTAGCACAAGCTTATTAAGGCCCACATAAAGATCTTTTCCCTTTTTTCATCTTAGACACTTCATTTTTCACTTTCAGGATTTGTATTTATTGCTGCATATACTTTGGTTTCACTTTCATTGCTTTACCCATTCTTGTTTTATTTTAGCTCATTAGGGAATTATAGTTAAAAAATGTGAAAGAAATTTATAATCATATTCAATACCCCACAAATATCTAAACTAAGTCAGTTTTTCATCCCATGGGAAAAAGCATGCTTCATTATATCCTTTCCCCAAGACATATTTCAAAATATACTCCACATTTCTTTTGTTAGAAACATCTGCAGAAGTTTAGGTTCATCTCTAAAATGTCTAAGCCTGCAGAGGAACTTGCTTGGTCCAGAGAGCTCCCAGCACATCTTACACATAAAAGCTTGTGGGGAGTTAGAATAGACCTTTCTTGATAAGGTATCATCAGGGTATTAAACAGATGCATTTTGGGGGAATGGAATTATGCCAGCAACCAGTTCTGCAACACATCACAATTGTAGTAAGTACATGTTTCAGCATCTTGTCAAATACAAAGATCTGCCATAAAGGGGATGGAAGCAGAGAAGGAGGCAGCAAAATTATTCAAGCCAGCCATAAGGTTTCCTGCCAGGCGCTTAATTGAGGAAATTGACAGGAAGTCATCCAGTACAGAATCTGATAGATTCAGTTGATTGTGCAATTATTGCTTCGGAGGGCTAAATAGAAATGACTGTCTATTTATAGTAAGAGGTGATTGTAGCTATTAATTTTAGCAGTTGGATTCAAGTATTTTATGTGCATTTGATTTTGCTGGTTGTATATGAGTAAACTGGAAAATTATTTTAAAGGCCAGTTCATTCAGTCTGGTGCTATCATACAACACACACACACACACACACACACACACACACTAGACACCAACAAATTGTTATTTGGAGTGAGGCTTGTGGAACAGTATTATGTGAGAACGTACTGTATGTCTTATAAACATTTATGCATGTGTAAAGATAAAGCCTCTTCCTAATGATTGCAAGGACATTTCCATTTATTTATTTATTTGGTCAATGACCAGCAACATAAAATAACAAGAGGAATAAAAGATAACAAAATGCAATCAGGATCAACAGAGAGAAATGAATATAATTACATATTAACAACTGTAGAGTAAATCAAATATTGTATACTCTGAACACTCTATTACAATGATAATAAGTTTATTTATGTAACAGTAATAAATTTAATAGAATAAAGCTATATATGTCCTCTAAAAATTATTTTAAAATAACTAAACGAGATATTGTCAAAAATAAGTTTTTACTTCTTTAATCAGTTTTGCCTTGTTATCACTGCAGCAGCACAAAATTTGGCTACTGAGGGAGTGGTGGCTGGATTTGGACATTTCCATGACAACAATATATAAGTGGCTTGCCGCTGGTTTCTGGGATGTATTTTAAACTTCCAAAATTGTCTATAATCCTGGGATCTTCTGATAGTCTCACATCCAAGTTCTAATCAGATCTGTCCTTCTTAGTTTTTTGAGATCTGCCAAGTCAGCTACGTATCTATGTGTTAACTTGGAAAAAATATAAGGGATGCTTTCCCAGTTTCAGGGGATACCACAGCCCTAACAACAAGGTTGATTTTTGGCTCTGACACTGCTCTGAATACTGCCTTTCTATTTGGTTCTTATTTGCCTTTTGATCAGATTTCCAGTATCTGAATCCTGACTTATTCCTCTCTACAGTTTGTACCTACAGTGTGTCCTGATATAATTCTAAATTCTTCCTTTCTCCGTGCAGTGGGACAAACTACTAATAATATGAATGAAATCAATACTTTCATTTTCTTACCCCCAGCTATAAAATGATTGCTGTTAGCAGGGTTTGGTAACATGGTTTGCCATCAAACAACTGGTCCTCATTCAACAACTGCCCCATTTAACAATCAATTGAAGTTACAAATGATGGCTGAAAGTTACAAATGGTGCTGAAAAGTGGCTTTATGAAAAGTAACTTTATGTTTTTATTTTTACAGGCATTATTAAAATACCATTGCACTATTTTAAGGAGAGGATTTTTTGTTGTTGATATTGTTAAACAATGAGGGAAATTACTGAGTATTGTGCGGCTATCACATTAATGTGCAGCATTCCGCAGTCATGTGATCACCATTTACGTGCTTTACAGATGGCTTTTGACAAACAGTTAATAAAGAAGCTGACAATAAAATCACAGCTCATGGTCATGTGATGTCTTGTTTAACTACCACAGTGGAAGTGAGGTCATAAGTCCATCACAGTCTCATAATGTCTTGCTTAAGGAACATGTCACATAAGGATGGAGCTGCAGGTCCCAATTGTAATAGTTAAGCAAGTGCTAACTGTAGTGTGAAAGTGGAATATCCCAACAAGATTTTTCAAAAGCACTCCTGCTGGAGATAAGAGTTGGGGAATTCAAAATAATACCTAAATTCTGTGTGGAAAAACCCCATGTAATTCAACATAGAATAAAAACTGCACAGAGGAACTGGATGTTCAGCCAGAGAAGCTACATTTTGAGCTCAGCCTTGCCTCTTCCTGGCGAGAATGTGATACTTTCTCTGAGGAAAGTTCTCTCTACACTCTGTACTAGAGCTCAGCCATCACAGTATGGGCTAAAATTCCTTTACTCCCTACTGCTGCGTCTGTGTGAACAATCAGGGATCAGTGCAGGCATAAATGGTCCACAGTTCTACAGCACGGAGATCTGAAGTATTAAAATAACTTCAACCAGATCTATGTTTCATCTGTCTAACAGAACTTTCTCTGTAGCCAACTTGATTCAGTCTTACTTATTGCATGAATAATAAACAAGTCTTACTTATTAAGACTGTTGGAACAATCACAGAGAATTCCCTGATGAAGCTATTTATGACAAACAAAATGAGAAGGATGATTTAAAAAATGGAAGCGGTCCTCACATTTACCTTTGCCCTGCGAAAACGGTAGACCACCAGCATGCTTATGAAGTCCAACAGCATACAGAGAGTTTGGAAGGAGATGATAGCAAGCCGTAAATAGTGGTCCTCCTGTGCATAGCAGGGAGTATCATCTGTACAATCAGAACATCCTTCCCTGCAGGGCAAGCAGGTGTACAAATCCTCAGCCATCTCACTCCTGGAAAAATGACTCTCAGCATCCTTCCCTAAAAGTATCAGATATGGAAGAGGAAAGAGTATACATTCAAGGAGTAGAAAAACAAAAGGTTTTGCCTTGGTGAGCAGGTTCTACCCTTGCATTTGATGGGCTACAATTACAGAGATATTTGTAAAAAAAAATAAAAATCACATATCTCTTGGAGATCAGAAATCATTAGCCAAGTTTCCCTCGTTGTGCATGCTACATTTTGGGGCCACAAGTCCAGAAGTTATTTAAAAGGAGAAGAAAGGCAGCAGGGAGTGAGAACTTTTTTCACATTTTAATGTTAGTGAAGCAATCTATGCTACTGTCTAGAGGGGGAAGAAAAGCTGTAAGATGATTTATGTCCACTAGGGCTATACATGTTTGGAAAAAGAATTGAAATAATTACTTTGGAATAGACAGCAGCTTCTTTAAAGCAGCTCCATTTATTCAGGTTTCCATGTAATCCTAAAAAAAATACAGCTGCTTTAAACAGTCACATTAAAGATGTACAGTAGCTGTTGGATATGCTCATTCAAATAAATTTATCTTTTGGGGAGTCTCACTCAGAAAATAGAAAACTGGTTTAATTACTTTAAATAGGTCCTATGCTCAAAGTACCTCTTCTACATCAACTCTGAAATAAGTACTGCCCTAACATCCATAAACTAAATTATCTAACTAGGCTATTAGTTTATTAATAATAATAATAATAATAATAATAATAATAATAATAATAATAATAATAATAATAATAATAATAATAATAATAATAATAATAATAATAATAATAATATTCTTTCCATACCGTTATTCATAATGTACAATAATTTTTTCATCAGTAGTTGCTTGATAGCATTACTTGACATGATTCGTTAGCTTCCCCTTACTTTATTCATGAATGTATGCCCAATTTTAATTTTACAATATCTGTCAAAGTTTTTCATTTAAATTGTTTAGCTGAGCCTGAATCATTTGACAACTATACATGAGTACTACAGACTTGAAGAGCACCAGCTATCTTTGTAAATTGTTTATGTTTAAAAAAACTTTATTTGGGCATCATCTGATTTGATTGCTCACAACTTATGTACATAGGTAACTCATCACTTGAAGTTGTAGTTCAAAATGCTTAGAAGTTGGCTTGACTCACATTTTTAAGTGGACTACTGCACTACTTTTTACTTTTCTTAAAGTTAAAAAGATCAGCAGATATTTATAAGAGATAACTTCACAATTACATAGATGCAGCTCAAAATATACATCAAAGTGAAATTATAGTTTAAAAACCAGCTAGCATAGCTCCTTTCATGAGCATTAATATACCTTTGATCACATATAATATGGATAGATTATAATGTAAAACTTTATATTGCAGGAACTCTTCCAGTTGAGTGAACTATTGTGATATAAACTGGCAAGACAAATTTTAAGTGCTGCTTCTCAAGCTGATAAGATTCAGTTCAGCTGTGAAAATAGATCCCAATAGATTCAGTCATCATCAGTGAATGCCTCCTTTTTATTTTTAGTCATCTGCTTCAAAGCCTAATATTCTTTAGTTTAATATTTGTTTATTATATTAGAATTAAATTTTATAATATACCAAATGCATCTTTTAAAATAAGTTTAGAATAAATATATATACTACAATGGAATGTATGCAAAACTGCACACAAGGTGTTTTTTTTTTAAAAAATGATGTGGGAAATGAGAATATTTGCAAATTTTAGAGAGATTGGAAGGAAACTTTTTCAACCATCTCTAGCTAAGTGAAAAATCCTTGTGTAAATTATTTTTTCCATCTGGGGAGACCATGCCTTACAGATCAGTTCTTACATATTCACTTATTTTTTAGAGAGATTCAGTTGACTCAGAAAAACGTTTTACGTTTGTTTAGAATAGAATAGAGCTGGAAGGGACTGAAAGTCTTCTAGTCCAACTCCTTTGATGCCCAAGAACTAGGGCATCTCCAATCAAGTTGCCTCTCCTCCCTCCCTCCCTCCCTCTCTCACTCCTTCCCCTCCCACCCTCCCACCCTCCGGTCCTCTCTCCCTCCCTCCCTTCCTTCCCATTCTCATCTCTTTCCTTCCTCCACACTCCACACTAACCCAAGCAGGTGGGGCCGGTCCCAGTGAAATGAAAGCCTTGTGGTTGCAAGGCTAGGTCAGCGAGGGGGGCGTGGAGGTGCTGGTTGGAGGGGGAGTGATGTTGATCTACAACCTGGTTGCATCGATTAAAGCCAGAACGCACTCAGCCTTAGATCCATGGGGCAGTCTCTGCTCCACCCCCTGGGAGTGCACACAGGAGACGGCCAGCACCGGCATCCTGGGCGAAGTCAGCCTGCGGGGCAAGACTCCGCCTGCTCACCATCTCTTGCCACCACCCAGCGGGCAGAATGGGGAGCCCATTGCTGGTTCCAGGGCTGCCCCATGGATCTAAGGCTAAGCACATTCTGGCTTTGATGGCTGGCACCAGGTTGTAGATCAATGCCAAGGTGCCACGGGCAGGTCCTTCACTGTTTCCAGAGCAGGTTGGCAAGCCAGATGCAACCACATAGTGGGCTGGATCCGGCCCATGGACATTGTGTTTGACATGTCTGGTCCAGTAATGGAGTGCTCATGATTTCTGAAGGCAAGCTGTTCCAATTGTCCTCACTGTTCAGAAGTTTCTCCTTCCAGGTTGCTTCTCTCTTTAATTATTTTCCAACCATTGTTTCTTGTCTTGCCCTCTGGTGCTTTGGAGCCCCTCAAATACTGAGGCAGCCCTTATGTCACCCCTAGTTCTTCTTTTCTTTAGTCTAGCCAAACCTAAGTCCTAAAGCTGTTCATGTGTTTTAGTCTCCAGGCCTTTGATCAACTTAGTTGCTCTTTATTTTTTTAATTTTGATCAAAATATCATAGAGTTTAATAAGCCAGTTAAATAATTTCTGAACTGCTTTATATTTCAAGGAGTTCTTCATAGGTAGGCAGCAAATTCTAGTCTCCCAAATTAGGAAATAAATCTAAGAATAGCTGGGTCAGCCTGCAGCATTCAGTGTAATTTTATGCACCCTTTGGCCTAATTTCTAAAAGACCTCTGCAAGAATTTGGCTTACAGATTTGTTAAAATGGATCTTTTACAATGATTCTCAACCTCAGCAACTTTAAGAAATGTGGACTGCAACTCCCAGAATTCCCCATTCAATGCTAGCTGAGAAATTCTGGGAATTGAAGCCCACAAGTTGTTGAAGTTGAAAATGTAGTAATGTAGTGTAGTAATACCGTAGTAATTTTGTCAACAAAAAAGGGACATACTGAAAGGTACTGTAGGCAGGATCTATGTATATGTGTGAGAGGAATAATGCCTACAATTTCCTACCAAAGTGACAAAGGTTCAGTTGTGAGGCCGATGAAGAGGAGGTAGATTTCTTAGGTACTGTTCAAACAAGGCTTCCTTGCTGGTGGCAGGGTAAGGGGCAGAGGGAGGGAGGAGTTACTTTGCTTCTGCAATCCACTAAACACACATATATAATCCAAAAAAGGAAAAAGAGAGAATGGAAGAGGATGGAAAAAGAAGAAAATGTATGGACCAATTTTTCACATAGGAAAGGTCTTATAACCGTGAACTGAAGGGATGAGAACTGTCCACTGTGTCTTGCTCTCAAACAATGTAGTTATGAATGTTTTAAAAAACAACCCATCCCATTTGAACATTAACAGTATATTGCATTCAGTTATATTGCAGATATGGTCATGTTTGTGGATACACCGCATATCTGGATTTGATTTAAATCTTAGGAAGTTTTTGGGCTTAATATATATGATAATTTCCCAGTGAGTAAGGCAATTACAGGATTGGGAGAAATTAGGCCTTTGATAGGTGAGTGATGATATAAAATTCATGTGATACACATGGGTGAATTGAGGAGTTCTTATTGCTTTTATGGATTTGGAGGGTCTTTAGTTTTTTTAATGAGATGGTAATGCAGTTGAAGGGGTTCCTTGGGACTACAAAAATGGAACTTGAGGGCAACAGATTATATTCAGGATGGTCGAACTCAACAAGACAACCAACAACTACATCCGGTTTTGGTCACCACAATGTAAAAAAGATGTTGAGACAGAGAAGAGCAACAAAGATGATTAGGAGACTGGAGGCTAAAACACATAAAACATATAGGTTGCTGGAATTGGGAATGTCTAATCTAATGAAGAGAAGGACTAGGGGTGACATGATAGCAGTGTTCCAATATCTCAGGGGTTGGCACAAAAAAGGAGTTAAGCTATTCTCCAAAGCACCTGAAGGCAGGACAAGAAGCAACGGATGGAAACTAATCAAGGAGAGAAGCAACCTAGGAAAAATCTCCTGACAGTTATAACAATCAATTAGTGGAACAACTTGCCTCTAGAAGTTGTGAATGCTCCAACACTGGAAGTTTTTAAGAAGAGACTGGACAACCATTTGTCTGAAATGGTATAGGGTTTCCTGCCTGAGAAAAGGGTTGGACTAGAAGATCTCCAAGGTCCCTTCTAACTCTATTATTGTTATTGTTATTGAATTCACAGACCTGATCTACTAATGAAGTAGAAGACCATGACTTCTGAATAATACGCATCTATCAATTTGGGCAGACCTCTTTAGCATGCAACTTGTTAGCCATTGGCTTACAAATCAAATGCTCCAAATATTTGCTCATGATCCAGGTTACCTTGCTTTTCATTCTGGTTACTTGTCGTACGTGATTTTGATATCTATCCACTAACATCGGTATCATTTTAAAATGCCCTTTAAAAGTATTTAAAGTCTTTTGCTCCAAGGTTTTCTCTGAAAGGTTTCAGAGACAGGGCAGTTTCCCATTACCTCCAGTTGGGACCGGTTGGTTTCTGAGCCTTTGGAGGCAGTTCCAAAAAATTAACAACTTGTCTATTTTTTGGCACGAGTCTGAGAAACAGAATTGCAAACAAAATTCCATCTGCCCTGCCATCTCGGCAGCCCACTTTACCTCCCAGTTCTGCCTCGACCTACAACTGTGCAGCCTTACAGAAAGCAGAAGGATGGCAAAATTTTAAGTGGTAGAGGCATTTGGCCGGCAAACTCTTGATTATTAATGATGGTGAGCAAGCAAGAACACAGCTTGACTTTCAGATTCCTTGCTGGGTTTGCAGAGCTGGCTGTTAGATAAACAATCTTTTTTCAAACTAATGTGCTGAGGAAATTTCACAGAGCACTGGAGGTTGCAAAATCAAATTCTGCTTTTTGAGCTGGGCACAAATAGCTTTCTGAACTAAAGTAGAAATGTAAAATGCATGTTTTTAGAAAACAGCACATCTAACCCACTTTCTCCACTGAATCACCTGGGGACTGACATAAAGCTGTAATTAAGAAACCCTGCCCAATTAGCAAATAACCATGTTTCATTCCTCCTCTTAGTCCTAAATGTTTTGCTAAATCTCCCTGAAAATTAAGGGGGCCAGTTTCTAGATAATTATTAATCAAATTGTATTGCTTATCTCCAATATTTCCCTACACCCAACCTTATTTGGCTCCACCATGTTTTATTTTCTCTTTCTTGACAAGGATGTTTTCTCCCGTAAGCACTGTTTTTTATTCTGTCCAAATCCATTTTTCTTTTTCTCAAGCTTTGCAAAATAGCTCTTCCGGTCATGACTGAATATTGCTGTACTATAAAATGCTCAATGTGCATTCATTTCAATGATATCAGTAGCCTTGTTTTATGTAGCAAGGGAGGTGACAGGGTACATTACTGACTTTAAACCTGTGGCTTTTTCTTTCCATGGTTTGACACTTGATATGAGCTATCTTACCCTTTGGTTCTGAAAAGATACATATATTCAGTTCGGCAGACTGAGAGCCTGATTAAAAAAAAAAACCAGTTTCTCAGAAGCAACAATCTATGTAAGTTCTGTGCAATGTTCTTGCAAGTAAGTATGTATGTGCCAGCATTTATCTAATGTTTACTTTGGATTTTTATTGTCACCATGAATGCTAATTTTAGTGAATACAATTTGAAAGAAACAAGTCTAAAATAAGCTTAATCTAGTTTGAATTTGGCATATGGATACTTTTTAAATTCTAGGTTTATGAACATATTGCCAACTCATTTCTAATTTTATTCGTTCGCTATTTTTTTCTGTAATTATTCTGCCCCATTATTAGAAGTATTGCTTGGCACTTCCATTTGTAAGGCTAGACGGGCTAACTGGAACACAGAGATAGCTTCGGTTCTCTTTGTCAATTCTTGTATTCCTCTCTGCACTCACATGTTAGTGTCACTGACCATTATTCCCTGTTGATTGCCAGAGAGTACAGAAATTCTGTATTGAGGGCATATATTACATTAGCTTATTGGAGAAGAAGGTCATTGGATATCTCCGAGACCGCCTTCTGCCACAGATTCCCTCCCACAGACCGGTACGCTCCCACAGAGCGGGCCTCCTCAGGGTGCCGTCGGCCAAGCAATGTCGGCTGGCGACCCCCAGGGGGAGGGCCTTCTCTGTGGGTGCCCCCACCCTCTGGAACGAGCTACCCCCCGAGATCCGGACAATCCCGGATCTCCTAACC